ACTACAACAAAAAAACAGCCGGGCATTGTGGTGGGCGCCTGTAGTCCCAGCTACTCGGGAGGCTGAGGCAAGAGAATCACCTAAGCCTAAGAGCTAGAGGTTGCTGTGAGCTGTGATGCCACAGCACTCTACCAAGGGCAACAAAGTGAGACTCAGTCTCTAAAAAAAAAAAAAAAAGTGAAAGTTCCTCTCTGGGCAGTGCCTGTGGCTCAAGCAGTAGGGTGCTGGCCCCATATACTGAAGGTGGTGGGTTCATACGCGGCCCCTGCCAAAAACTGCAAAAAAAAGAACTACTCCAGGTTCTTTTTAAGCCATTAAACTGCAGAGCAACTCTGTGTTATGGGTGTGCTATATATGTGGTTGTAACATGGTTAGCTTCAAGAAATAGCTATGGGGCTCAGCTCCCATAGCTCAGCAGTTAGGACACTGGCCACATACACTGAAGCTGGTGGGTTCAAACCCAGCCCAGGGCTTGCCAAACAGCAATGACAAGTACAAGAAAAAAATGGGGTGCTGTGATGGGCACCTATAGTCCCAGCTACTTGGGAGACTGAGGCAAGAGAATCGCTTAAGCGCAAGAGTTGGAAGTTGCTGTGAGCTGTGACACCATAGCACTCTACTGAGGGCAACATAATGAGACTCTGTCTCGAAAGAAAGAAAGAAATAGCTATGGGCCAGGCATGGTGGCTCACGCCTATAATCTGGCACTTTGGGAAGCTGAGAAGGGAGAATCACTTGAGGCCAGGAGTTTGAGACCACACTGAATAAAACAATGAGACCCCATCTGTACAAAAAATAGAAACATTAGCTGGGCATTGCAGTGCATGCGTATGGCCTCAGCTCCTCCAGTGGCTGAGGCAGGAGGATGATTAGAGCTCAGAAGTTCAAGGTCACAGTTAAGTTACAGTGATACCGCTGAAACTCTATCCCAGGCAAGAAAAAACAAAAGAGAAAAAAAAAAAGAATAAAAGGAAAGGAAAGAAAAGAAAAAGGAGAAGAGGCCAAGGTCAGGAGTTTGAGACCAGCCTGAGCATGGACAAGATCCCTGTCTCTAAAAATAATAATAATAAGAAGAAGAAGACCGAATTAGCCAGGTGTGGTGGCACATGTCTACAGTGCTAGCTACTTGGGAGGCTGAGGTAGGACAGCTTGAGCCCCTATGATGGTGTGACCAACCAGCAGAGCAAGACCCCTTCTCCACACCACAATCCACTAACACACTCAAGTCAACCCAAAGTCCATGCAATACATAAGGCACATTCGTGCTTCAGGACCTTTTCACCAGCTGTCACCTCTGCCTAGCACAGATCTGCCTGGTTCACCCTTAGCTTCAAGGATGTGTTCAAATGCCCTTCTGAAATCCTGATACCCTTACCCAGTTCTTCTTTCCACACTTACTACTCTCTAACACTATAATTATTTCCTTACGCTTATTGACAGATTTCCCCACTAGCACGTAAGTTCCATGAGGACAAGAAATTTTATCTGTTCACTGATGTTTCCCCAGTCCCAATACCCCAAAGCCCAAACACGGCTCTTCTCTCCCTCCCCAGCCTCCAGGCACTATCCCGCGGCGAGCCCCTCCCAACCGCGTCCAGACGCGTCCTCAGCCTGCCACGTGCCCCATCCAGATCCCCTCAGAAGTCGCTTTCGCGACCTCTCCGGGTTCTGAGCTCCCCGTCGAGTCCCCACGTGTCCCCAGGCTGCGCTGGCGGCGCTCACCGTCCGGGTCCTTCTCGCGGTAGCACTGGTAGTTGCATTCCACTTCCAGGTTCTCCAGAAAGGACTTCACCTGCTCCTCATCCTGGAAGTCCACCCCACCGGCCATGGCTCTGGCTCGCAGGGGTTACCCCGGCGCCCCGCCCCCGTGGTCACGTGAGCAGAGGGGGCGGGGCGTGAAGGGGCGGGGCGACGTCGTCTGCGCTTATCCCGGGATTCCGGAAGGCTGGTAGCTGCGAGCCTGGGCTTCCCAGCAGTTCTCGCGCTGTTTCGGGATTAGGCAGCCAGGCTTCCTCCTATAACCCTGTTCCTAAAACTGGTGGCAGTCTTGCTGTAGCATCTTATTGATGTCTGCTTTGTAGTCTTGGTGGTTTTGTGCTTACCATCATTTGTCCATTCATAATTCCCTGGTGCCTACCGTATGCCACACCCGGGGCAGGGTTCTAAGGGTATAATACCTGGGAAGTGTGGTCCCTGCCTTTGAAGAGCTTGCAGTTTAGTAGGAAGACTTTTGTCTATTCATTCAGCAAGCATTTTGAGCGCTTTCTGTGTGCCATATGTAATTGGACGGACCAATAATCATTAAATTGGTACAAAGAGCAATGAGAAGTCTATTTCATCTCTGTATTCGTCCCAGACCCATCCTGGACACCAACGTGAAATAACCTTAGCAATAAAATGGCCTTGGGAGATGATGACTGGAACACAGCAGTAGAAGTTATAGTAACGTCGCTGTGATAATAGCTAATACTTAAAAAGATGAACTTTTGGGTGGCGCCTGTGGCTTAGTGGGTAGGGCGCCGGCCCCATATACTGAGGGTGGTGGATTCAAACCCAGCCCCAGCCAAACTGCAACAACAACAACAAATAGAGAAGCGTTGTGGCGGGCACCTGTAGTCCCAGCGACTCAGGAGTCTAAGGCAAGAGAATCACCTATGCCCAAGAGCTGGAGGTTGCTGTGAGCCATGTGACGCCACGGCAGCACTCTACCGAGGGCGATTAAGTGAGACTTTGTTTCTACCAAAAAAAAAAAAAAGATGAACTTTTACCTTTTTAAGAGTTCTTTTAAGAGCTTAATATGAATTAGCTTATTTAATTCTCACTGGGGAAACTAAGGTACAGAAAGGTTAATTAACTTGTCCAAGGTCACTAAGGGAGTTAGTATGCAATATACTTTTTGAATAAATGCATGGGGTAAAAGAGGAACATAGCAAGGGGAGAAGGGGGCAGTGCCCTTAGCTCAGTGGGTAGGGTGCTGGCCACATACACCCAGGCAGGCAAGTTGGAACCCAGCCCTAGTCAGCTAAACAACAATGACAACTGAAAAAAAAGGAAGAAGGAAGAGAAGAGGAACTTCACTTATTTATTTTTTTTTTTCGAGACAGAGTCTTAAGCTGTCACCCTGGGTAGAGTGCTGTGGCATTGTAGCTCACAGCAACCTCCAACCTCCAACTTGGGCTCAAGCCATCCTCTTGCCTCAGTTTTTCTACTTTTGGTGGAGACAGGGTCTTGATTTTGCTCAGGCTGGTCTCGAACTCTTGAGCTCAAGCAATCCACCCACCTTGGCCTCCCAGAGTGCTAGGATTACAAGCGTGAGCCTCTGTGCCTGGCCAGGAACTTCGTCTATTTTTTGCTTTGCTATGCTCTGGCTAAGAATCATTTCCATAAAGCCTAGGCAAAAAGCTCACCAAAGACAGTTCCTATTACCTTTGAATCCCATCCAGCCCCAGTCTAGCACCTTCAGTGAAGTTCAATCCATGGCTTCCCACCACCTATAACAATGCTTTCCAAAGAGTTCCACTACTAACCTATACCTAAGGGCCATAGAGAATGGACCACTTACAACCGCATCTTTATTGGAGAGCAGTGTGATGCAGCTGGGACATGTCTGATATCCCAGTTTTAGTTTTTAAATTTATATAAATGTAAATTTACATTTACATTCAATGCCATAATACACTTTTAATAGAAAAATTGCCTTTTCCCAAACATTTGGGTAAAACTGACATTCCAGGTGTTATGCCACATTTACCTGTGTTTTTTAATTTTTGTTTTTGTGTTTTATTGAGACAGAGTCTCACTTTGTCACCCTCGGTAGAGTGCCGTGGCATCATAGCTCACAGCAATCCTCACCTCTTGGGCACAAACAGTTCTCTTGCTTCAGCCTCTCAGTAGCTGGAATACAGGTGCCCATCACAATGCCTAGTTATTTTTGTTTGTTTGTTTGTTTGTTTGTTTTTAGCAGGCCCAGGCCCAGTTTGAACCCACCAGCCCCAGAGCATGTGGCTAGCGCCCTAACCACTGAGTTATAGGTGCCCCTTTCCTGTGGTTTTTCTCATACCCTTCCTTGATCACCTTAGAGTACTCCTCAGTACGCATGCCCCAGGTTGGGAAGCCGTGAACTTTGGCTAAGAGCCCCTCTTCTTTAGCACCACCTTCAAGGTGCTGTGAAATCTGATTCTATCATCTTGTGCCTCTCTTCCCTACTCCAGCCAACCTTCTGTTCTCTGAATAGGTCTCAAGTTTGTGTCCCTTTTTACCTCTCTCTGCTCTCGATGCCTTCTTGGCCCAAATCAGACATTCTCTTCTCCATAAAGTCTTTCCAGAAGCGACAACCACCCACACAAAATAGATTTAGATGCTCCCACTTCCGTGCTCCATACCTCTTGGTAAATTCGGGTTTGGGAGGGGGTGCATATTTAGTTCAGAATCCACAGCCTATGTTTAAATAAATTGTAACCTTAAAATAATCATGTTTATGAACCTGATTCCGCTTCTGTAGATGCAGATCCATGGTTTGGCTGTTAGAAGGACTAAAAGTTCGTATATATTATATGATGTACTTAGCACAGTTTCTGCCTGGGAGTCATTCCTATTCCAGAAATGTTTCTGGTCATGCTTCTAAAGGAGTGAAGTCTATATCTTCCACCAGAATGTGACCTCTGTGTCCCTTGTACTGGTCACAGGACCAAGAATAGAGCAGGGGTCTCTCTCACCTTTCTCCCCCATGAGAGGAACCCACTTCCAACTCTCTTTGGAAGTGCTCTAAACTTTCTTCTTGCTGTTTCTAAATAAAAGTTATCTTTGCAATACTAAAAAAAAACAAGAATAAAGCAAGGATTAATGAGGGTGATGTAGATAATTAAAGCCTGGATCTGGCCATAGTAGTGTTATAGAGTGATTAAGGACCACCGACTCAAATTAGAATTTCAAAAGGAGTCTTTTATTAACTTCAGGGCTGTCTCAGCAATGTCTAAAGCAGACTAAGTGAGAAAGCAGGGAGGCCTCTAAAGCTGGGGTTTTTCTAGTCTAAAAGTTGGCAACGAACCAAACAGGTGGTCTGAAAGTTAGCAATTAAAAGTAAAAAGAGGTTCAGCGCCTGTGGCTCAAGTGGCTAAGGCACCAGCCACATACACCTAAGGTGGTGGGTTCGAATCCAGCTTGGGCCACCAAACAACAATGATGACAACCCCCACCCCCTCAAAATAGCCAGGTGTTGTGGCAGGCGCCTATAGTCCCAGGTACTTGGGAGGCGGAGGCAGGAAACTTGCTTGAGCCCAGGAGTTGGAGGTTGCTGTAAGCTGTGATGCCACAGAACTCTACCCAGGGTGACAGCTTGAGGCTCTATCTCAAAAAATAAAAATAAAAGTAAGAAGAAAATTGGCAAAAGAAGCAAAAAGCGAGCACGATGACCTCTTTTACAGAAGCGAAACTTGCAATTTAGCGGTTTAGCCAATAGGTAACATAAAGGGCAGTTAGAGAACAATAAGGTAACATAATGCAGATCTAGCAACTAATGGATAAGTAAAACAATTTGTCACAGCACGTAGCTCATTAACTCATGAGGACAGTTCTTGGCCCATTTGTTCTTATCTTGTCCTGTTCTGGCCAATCTGGACCGATTTAAGAGTAATGGTACTTGGCATTATTTCATTTACCTCTTCTTCCCCTTCCTCCTACCCGGGGGTTGGTGTGAGGCCATTGTGAGGCTGCCGGCATCCATCTTATGGGGTGATAAGGCAGCTGGCACCCATGAGGCTGCTGGCACCCATCTCAGTAGTACTTTTTTTTTGTTTGTAGAGACAGAGTCTCACTTTATCGCCCTCAATAGAGTGACGTGGTGTTACACACGTCACAGCAACCTTCAACTCCTAGGCTTAGGTGATTCTCTTGCATCAGCCTCCCAAGTAGCTGGGACTACAGGCATCCCCCATAATGCCTGGCTATTTTTTTTGGTTGCAGTTTGGCCAGCCCGGGTTTGAACCTGCCACCCTTGGTATATGGGGCCAGCGCCCTACCCACTGAGCCACAGGTGTTGCCCCCATAGTAGTACTTTTGCCTAATCATATCTCTTGGGTTGAACTGCATTGAAATGAGATCACCTGAGCAATAGAGGGTGAGAAGTTAGTTGGTGAAAAGATGGAAAGGAAAGTAAGCCAAGTAGGAATTCATAATTTAAAAAGAAACTTAAGGTGGCTCTGCGACCATAGCACAGTGGTTATGGTGCCAGCCATAACCTGATATTGGTGGGTTCGAACCCAGCCTGGGCCAGCTAAACAACAATGACAACTACCACAAAAAATAGCCAGGTGTTGTGGTGGGCACCTGTAGTCCCAGCTACTTGAGAGGCTGAGGTAAGAGAATGGCAAGAGGCAAGAGGCAAGATGCTTAAGCCAAAGAGTTTGAGGTTGCTATGAGCTGTGACACCACAGCACTCTACTGAGACTCTGTCTAAAAAAAAAAAAAAGAAAAGAAAGAAACTTAAGGTTATCAAAAGGGCAACAAACTTCTTCTTTTTTTTTTTTTTTTGGTTCTGTTCTTACCTCTAGATAAAAATAGGTTTATTTTCCCTCTATTGGTATAAATAGTTACATTTATGGCTCGGCGTCTGTAGCACAGTGGTTATGGCACCAGCCACATACACTGAAGTTCCCAGCCCGGACCAGCTAACCAACAATGACAACTGCAACAAAAAATAGCCGGGCATTGTGGCGGGTGCCTGTAGGTCCCAGCCACTTGGGAGGCTGAGGCAAGAGAATGGCTTGAGCCCAAGAGTTTGAGGTTGCTGTGAGCTGTGACGCCATGGCACTCTACCAAGGATGACATAATCAGAC